AGAGAGAGAGAGAGAGAGAGAGAGAGAGAGAGAGAGGGGGAGAGACGTGAGAAAACGTAACGATGGTGAAGGAATTGGGTGAGGAGGAGACGGCTTTCGTTCCTTGGGACGCTTTATCCTGCTTGGCATTGACCTTGAAATTGTGTCGCCCTATTGTTCCCTCCGCTGACTGCACAACCTCCGTTGCCGGGGTTTACCTAGCGAAGCGACGGACCGCCAACCACCCGTGCCCAGTGTGCGGGAAGCACTACGTCAACGAGGGTAGCCTTAGGAAGCATCTAGCCTGCCATCCTGAGACCAGTCAACTTAGCACAAGCCTCAGGATGTGGCCGTGCTCGGTGTGCCAAGCCGTCTTCACTCATGAGAGCGGTAAGTATTTAGCCCACGTAAACGTGAATCGATGGGCCGATCGGGTCCCGACAGTAGCTCGGAGTTCGAAGTAAACACAGTTGAAAGTAAACACGATTCATTTTCATTCTATGCTGTAAACTTATGATTTTCATTCTGTGGAGTATAACTTACGTTTATAACAAGTGACATACTTATCGTCCATATACGCGCGACCGTGTAATCGCCTTTCCATACTGTGACCACGCTCGTTTTCCTCTGGTGTTAAGGTCTCCTGAGCCACATGGAGCACATGAGGATGGACCCAAAACATCAGTTCGCGGCGCAGTACGTGCTGAGCCGCGCGGCCGCCGAGAGGCGGGAAAGGGAGATTCTCGCGAGTTCGAGTTTAGGTATAACAGATTGATATACATTCTTTCTCAAGGAATTAAGTGGCGTCAAAACCGTCGCATAGAAAAATACGACACTGCACACGACGCCAATGACTAGAATGGTGTTCTAATATAACGTCCTTACGCTGTACAGGAGCGGGTTTGGGTGTGTTGGGAGGAAGTCAATCTGGAGGCCCGCAAAATTTGCAACAACCACCAATGTGCCCGTCACCGTCGGCCCATTCGGATAGCAGTAGCGGCAACGGAAGACTGTCGTCGGCCGGTAGTGAACCTGGTACGCTACGATACTTGTTCTACGTCTACTACTCGAACGTCTATCAAGTATCTAGATATAATAGATATAATATTGTCGCATTTGCCCGAGCACAGTTTGTAATATCGCCGTTATTCACCTTTTTTTCTCTGATTTCGTTAATGACATAACTGTTGTGAAGTATCATTAGTGAACTTATTGTAGTACACGTAAGCTAGAATATATATGAACATATATGCTTGAGTCGAAATAAAATATTTACGAATTTCTGGTCTGAGTAATAATTCTCTCATGTGAACGGCGCTCACTACGGTCTGCTCTTATGGGCGGTTTCCACTTCGGGATGTCGCCTTTTTAACGCTTTAGCGTGCCAATTTACGTATATATATATATATATATATATATATCCACGCGGAATGATATATGCTACCTAGTTAGACTATAGTATGAGATGTGCGTGAAAACCCCTGCCCGTACATCGACCTGTACATACTGACGAGAGCAGATTTTTGCGCAGGCACCGGTCTACTGAATAACAACAACAATAATAACAACAATAATATGGCGTCGCCGGGACCGAGTGGCAACAAGCTCAGCGAGATACTGCGAACGGGAAGTCAACCGGGTTCGGCACAGCAATATCACGATGAGATGCAGTCGCAGCAACAACGCATGGCTGTCATGGCCGCCGTGTCAGCGGGTAAGAGCGAATAAATGAATATATTACTATATTATATATAAAATGTAATATAATATATAAAGTCAGGTATGACGAAAACTAGTTATGCTGATCTAGCGAATCGATCAAAACGCGCGAATCTCCAAGAAGTGCATTATCACTTATCAATATGAAATTGCACGAGAGAGGGGAGAGTTCCGATAACTTCGTTCCAATTATTACCGATAAAGCTTGATTTACAATGTTGTTTCTCCACTCACAACACTGCATTTGCGTTGCCCGCTTTTCTCGTGTCTTCGACGGGAACTCGAGCGAGCAATTATAAGTACGTTCGACGTGACTGCATTTGTTGTCGAGGGAAATGACATTCCTACGTTGCAGAAATGCGTTACACGATTATTATGTGTGGTACTATGTGTGATATTACCGCAAGTTAATTTAGTAAAATTTATCGCGCACGTAGTTTCTTTCGCAAAGAGTTGCGAATCGTAACTCGTCGAGAAACTCGCTGAAGAAACGATGATAGGAAAAACAAATATCGGAATTCCTTACCGCATCATTCCTCTCCTCTCTTTCTCTTCCTTCCCACGATCAAAGTTAACACGAGAGACGCATTTGTGAACAGCAACTCTCCTTGACATGTGTTCCACAGATCGTGATTCAATCGCGATGCTCCATGATTCTGAAACACATCATTTTAAATTTAACATTGCAAAAAGAGATGTTTGCTAAAATAAAAATATATACCTTGCAATCTATTTCTATTTAAAAAGGATTAGAAAAGCGTGGTATATTATTTGTAGCTTTAAATTACTTTCGACGGTAAGCGAGATGTGAAAGCGATATTTCTGTTAGGATTGCAAAATTCCGTATCGCCTAATCTCTCGCCGGTCGACATGGCATCGTTGGCGGCGGCTATGAGAATGGGCAATAACGGTGATATGAGCGGTAGTACTCAAGGATCGACGGGACCCCAACAACAAGGAGTTCAAGCGAGTGGACCGGAGCAAGCTTTGAGGATGCATCAGGCGGAAGCTCTGCTTCGTTCCCAAGCCGAAGCTGCCCTACGACTTGCGGTAAAAGAGACACCTAATTCTTCTATTACAAAGTTAAACAGCAGTACGTCTCAGTACATTCACGCAATTTCCATTTTAAATATTTCAAACATAATGTTACAGAAATATTAAGATTGAGAGAATAACTCATAAGTTATATTCTTTCGCAAAGAAACAAAGCTAAAACCAAATAATAAAAATCAGACTCTATAATGAAAGTAATTCAATAAAGTGCCTATAAAAGTCAACACGAGATGTTCAAATGTATGCATTAATTTTATCTTGTTCAATTAATATTCATAAACGTGTCGATAAAAAAGCGAAAATAAAGACAGACATCAAGCATTTCCTATTGTTAATTCTTTTCCACCCTTCAACATTTTTTTGCATATTTGCGCAGGTATCTCAAGCGGCGGCAGCCGCAGCGAGTTCCGCGGTGGGCGGCGACGTGAGGCATCATTTGGGACAGCATAATGGAGGCAGCACCTCCGGTATGCCGGGACACCATACGAATCAACAAATGTCCCAACAAGATACTCTAACGCCGGATCTCGGTAAGTAATACAAAAATCCGGCGACACGCTGTACGACTTAATTTGCGACGAAAACTTCTAACAAACTTTGTCGACACTCGATATCTTTCAGGAGAAGCGCTACGGCTACAAGAGCAGCGATTAGAACAGGCTCTCAGGCTTCATGGCGGCGATCCGCGCGCCCTGAGTTTCACTCTGGCTCAACACGTCGTCAACCAACAAAGCAATCAGCAACCATGAAAATTCAGTTACTACTGAGACGAGTGGACCCCTTGGGCGCCGGATCAGACGACCCTGCAACAGAACGAGCGCATGAATCAGCAGTCGCAATCGTCGACGGAGCGCTCGACACCATTGCACGATCAGCAGCAGCACCAACAGCAGGGCCCGTCTACTATCGGTCATCACCAACAGCAGCAGCAGCAACAGCAGCAGCCTGAAGACCGTGGCGTCAAGAGAAAAGCCGATGAGATGATCGGTAACTCCGAAAACGCGTAAGAGCGACTTACGTTCATTACGATCGACGTGACGTCGGAACGTCATCGTCATCGCTGACGTAATTCGCTCCTGCGCCCAAGTGCGGTCGCCAGAATTTCACTCACTGTCTCAGCAGTAAGAAAACGGTAACAAACGCAAGGACTTTGTGAGATAGAATGTGTACTTCGGTGTCTTCCTACTCGGATAGAACCGATATCCAGGCCGGATCTCAACCGGAAATTGATCGAGGGTATCATCCTCGATTGACGAACTCTCCGGATGGGGCCGTGCCAGACGACGGGAGGAGAGTGAGAATACGTACGTGTATAGCAAAACCGTTGCACGACGCGAGGCGGTTAAGATCGCAGTGGCGACGGTCGTCTCTCGCGATTCCCCGCGCGCTTCCTGCGCGGTTCCGCGTCGTTCCTACACCGGTCCTGGATCAAGGATCTGTCGAACGGAAACCGCGACTGCGTTCTCACGTTGTCTTCGTATTCCGTTAGGATTCTCAGGACACGTCGCCACTGCCGTACCACCGCCTCGACTTCCGAAACGTGCCATAATAACTAATGAGAAGTTGCTTAAATAACAACAGTAAGTCATCTCGGTTGTCCCATTTCGGGGTAATTCGGGATGTGCTCTGAGGTACTATGATCTTTTAGTACAAGAGCCGATTAAGCCGGTACGCGACGGTATCGAGGGTCCAACGGGCGATCCTCGTCCGTCTCGTGCTGGCCAGGCTCAACAAACCTAAACTATATATAAATATTATACATAGATACGTCTAAACTCCACCACGAACCGCGCTTAAAAGGTTCCACCCCTTAAATCCCCTAATCGTAAAAAGTCCCGTAATGCTTAAAAAGCGAATCGCACACCAATATAACATCAACGTATACAGACTCATCGTAACGTGTGCATCGCGCGGTCGCGACGAACGTTCCACCACCGGCGAGTGGTGCCGTATCGTCGCGTTGTACGGTTGTTAATTATATACGTACCGAAATCCCCTTCCCCGTGTGTGTGTGTGACAGACGGACGCGACGCAATCCGTACGGACGTTTTCTCACTTGCGATCAACGTTTCGCGCGACGACGACAAAGCGACGTTGACATTTCGCGCACGAGAAAGGAACGTCGTCGGACATAACGCGTCGGCACAGATACGTATACGCACACACACGAGCATACACACGTAAATACATTACACATACATTACACATATGTACACATGTACAATACATACATATATTATACAAAACTCATCAGCAGCACACTTTTAAGGTGAAGATATAATGCGCGCAACTTGTGCTCGTCGGTAGCACGAAAACTATTAGCTCATAAGCGAACAAACAAAATATAGTTATTACAAACAGTTATATTATATATATTATATATACATACAGAGTATGAAGAGTATGACAGAGACAAAAAACCGGGCGAAACCCATTCACACTTACACGTTTAACTGAATATGCGGTAAGCGTGAAAGAGCGAGCATTTTTCGTGAGCAAAGCACGCGACGGAGCAGAGAGAAATAAAAAAACTAAATGCTAAATATTATATATATTATATATATAAATATTATAAATAATGAATATAGGGTCTATGAGACTAGGATAGTTAGGCGAAAGGGAAATACGAGCGAATGCGGAGCGCGCGCCCGCGTAGGTTTTACGTGATCCCAAGCATTGTCGACGTGAGAATGCGACAGCACAGCAGAGGTGGGCGTGTGCTAAAGCGAGAAAGGGAGGGAGAGAAAGAATATGCGAATGTGATTTTACGAATAAACGACCTTGGGATCGACGTAGGTACACGGGCGCGCCGTTGAGCGAATGAGCTGATCGAGTAAACGTGAATGCTTCGTGAGCATCAAGGAGGAGCGAATGCGAAGACGAGAGTGAGATTTTAGAGTGGCATGCTTCAGGTAATCTGAGGTCCTGTGATCGTTATAAGCGAAATATTTTTTTATTTCCGGGTAATATAATCTGAAACGCGTAAAACTCTTGCGTCGTTTTGAACTTTTACTTGCAATATACCGTTACGTTCTCGCAATACTTAGGATGAAGAAGAATAAGAAGACGAATAGGAAATAAAGAAGGTGGATGAACAAAAACAAAAGAACAAAAAGAAAAAGATAATACGAAAATGAGGATGACGAGGGAGAGGAAGAATATATAAAGTAAAGTCCGTATAGGTTTGATCGTGGAGCGAACCGAACCAGCCCCTTACCCTTCTAAAATTCCCTTTTTCACGACGTTTTCCATCAATTCGAATCTGAACTAAAGCTGACCAAATTTTTCGTCGTCCTATCCATCTCTCCGAAATTTTTACTTAAGCTTATGGATCGTTTGTACTTTCGATCAGATCAAACGAGATGAAACGAGACTTTTCTTGGTAAAAATTTTTCTTAGAATTCTTAATATTATTTTTCAGAATTTTTACATATTGAAATCTTTTCAGACTTGTAAAATTTTTTATTCTACAATTTCTGAAAATAAAAATCTGAAAAAGTTTAAAGTATTTTTTCATAAATTTATATGAAAAATTTTTTTTAATATCATAATCAGATATGAAAATTTTGTTCACCAAGCTGACCGTGAAAAACACCAGAGAGAAATTTATAACGTTTTGTTTCGTTGAAAATAATTTTTTCAAAGCAAAAGAATAAGAATTCCAAAAAGAAAGTAAAAACCGACGGAGATGTAGAAAGGCGAATGAAAAAACGGTGAAGAAAAAAGTCAAAGCCGATTTGAAAAGTCGATTCGATGAGCATTTGTGTACGACACGATTTGATTTCTTCGTTTCTTGGAATGGCATCGCGGATTGATATAAATGCGGAATTGAATGATAACGTGTCGAATTTGTTCACATCTTTGGACATTAATATCGATCGCGTTACTGATATTGTTATTTCCTTTCGGAGACTCGACAAGACTCTTGACGGATTTATTTTTGAACATCATCCCCTTTGTTCCTCGCTTTTCATATAAAAATTTTCCCTTCATCTTTCCAAAATATATCCAAAATGACCAAAATAGAACTTTTCAAAAGAAAGTACATCTATAAATAGCAGAATCTTTTCTCTCATTACATCTGGAAATTATATCTTCCAGGAAATGAATTATGAGGAATTATTTATAATTGACAAAAAGCTTCCCTTTCATGACATATATACTTCCTTCCCATCTTTCATGTCCATTTGTTCGCCAATTACGAAAATAACCTAACGTCGTCATCTTCGTTGAACGTAAAAGACACGCGCCGAGAAGCCGCCGGATAGCCAGGCTTTTTGACCATCTGGGACGAGAGATGAAAAGATCACTAAGGATTCATCGTCAAAGCTACATTTAACGATTGCACTCGTCTCGCGATCGGAACTCGACGGATACGTCTGGCATATTTCTTTTCGAAAAATTTTCTAAAATTCGCCCTTTCCTTAAAAACGTTCCCATCACATCACTGGGATCGATTTTTCGCAAATCGTGAATTCGGAAAATTTGAAAAAATTTTTGAATTTGTCATGTTATTGTGGAAAAAGAAAAGAAAATAAGCGGAGCTCCTCGAGTTCCAGCGATCGCGACCGCGGGTCGATTCATTGATCGTTATTATTAAAGTTTTTGCGTTACAGGGCGTTTTTTCCTCGGATTAAGTAGTATGTAAATACACCTTGATATCACAAGCATAAACTGAGAATTTACTGGTAAACTTAAACGAACGTACATAATGCGAAATAGGGTTAGTTTCTATGTAAATACCTAAAGCTGGACGAGTGCATACACCTCGTTCACGCAACCAACGATAATCGTTTCTTATCGAACCAGAGCTTCTGTTCGTTGTCGGTGCGTGCCCACGACGATTGGCGATCGCTTCCGCCGCCCTGACCTCGCCACCACTCTAAAGGGTGGATTTTACATCCCTGAGGAAGGATCGCGTGCGGGAGCGCTCACTGTCTCTCGGGCATCACCGATCGGGAAATTTTTTTTTTCACGACACTAATACACTTACACACCAACACTTACACTACACGGCATTGCGATGGATTGTATAGCGATAGGAAAACATCCAAAACACAATCGTCGCACATTTCGACGCCCACCCAATACCATATAGGGATCGATTTTTCAGAAAATTTCCATCGATAATACATCGCGTATTGTTTTTCGGATAATAAAAGAATCGCGAACAATGAAACGTATAATAAGTAGTATGATAAAAGTTTGTAGCGCTTCTGTGCGAAAGATGCGAGCGTGCTGCACAAAATTCAGAATGGAAGAAACTTGAGAAAATCTGGAAGAGAGCGGATGCAAAATTGATAGAGATTTGGAAATCTGTTTGAAGCAAAAGAATGTCAGTCGATATCGATGAGTTTTGAAATGGACGATGGAGCGAATGAATAGAACTTAGTTAGGCAAAGCTGTTAGCACGTGTCGCGCGACTGAAGCGCGGAGTAAATTCTCGTTTAAATTCGCGAGTTATCTAACGATTTTCAAGTGAATCGTAATTTCATTTCACGGTCCTTAATCGAGCGTCGAGAGATATGAAGAACGGTGCACGAAACAGGTAGTAAGAGCGCGAAAGAGCGAAATAAGAAACGGAAGGAAGGAAAGGTCAGAGCGGTTATTAATTACCACCAAATCACCATCACAAAAAAAAAATTAATAAAACAACAACGACAACAATACAAAACACTACCACCACTACCACGTCGAGATCCTTCATGATAATCGCGATCATGAAACGATTGACAGACGACTGTTTTCGGCCGGTGCATCCTGCCGTGC